GAGGGTTAATATTCATCTCAATACAAGTCAGTGGTGCCCTCAAGGTATATTACAGTTTCTTTGGAAGACATGCGCAATCCTTAAGCAAAATTTGCATTCAGCACATAATATCATACGCCTTGAGAACATAAGCAAAGTATGATGTTTTCTTTAAGAAATGTTTAAACCTTTTAATTATGCATTTTAAAACATAACTAATATATACTTAACTAAAATGTGATAATAAAACCGAAATGCAATTTAAACTGTATCTCTAACTAACATATTTAGGTAAGAAACAACCATGAGTGCTATAGTCGATAAAGCAGCCAACAATACTACAGTCACATGTGCTCCGTGACGTCAAATTGGCACCAATTTCAAAATAACCATTGTTAGATTACAGTGTAAAATGATCTCTTTCTAGTGAATATACACATGTGTATGCAGACTATAAAACTCAAACCCATCTGTTGAAGGTTGGCAAGGCAGCTGCCAAGTGTTGAAAAAATTTATTAAACTGTATTCATTCAGTGAAATTTGAAATGAATGAGTCAAAACGTTGTGTAAGCATCTTATTGTTCTATATGTACCTCTACTCAACTACCATTGTATTACTGAAGATACACAGAGCCAAAATAGAGAATTTTCATAGCCAGTTGGTCACGTAACAATACATCTGATGTTTTAAGTAGTTTTTAAAGGTTTATTTTGAAATAAAGGACTTAAAATTTGGATAAAATAAAACTTCAAATCATAACATACATTATAATATTAATCTGATTCACATATTCTGTTAGAAATGTGTTTAATTAAATTTTGAATGTAATACAGTGACTTGCACACAAAAGTGTTTAAAGAGGCTTCTGTAGACAGTGAGCAATTTCCTAAGGATTGAAGAATTGTTACTGTTAATCACATTTTTAAAAGGAGTGATAAGAGTTGTCTTGGAAAGTATAGGCCAGTTAGTCTTACTTCTGTTGTAGTAAAAACACTAGAGACTCTCATAACAGTAGCTTTACAAAATCATTAGATAAAATATGATATCATAAATGAAAACTACCATGGATCCACCAAAGGGAAATCTTGCTTTACTATTCTATAATCTTTTTTCAAGGATATTACATGTTATTTGGAGGATGGAAAGTGTATGGACTTGGTGAACTTAGATTTTCAAAAAGTTTTATTAAAGTGCAACACAAAATATTACCTTGGAAAGTCACATGATTAGGGTTGGGGAAAGACTAGTTAATTAGACCGTAGGATAAATATTTGGTAGAAAGAAAATGATGTTTAGCTATGTAGTCAAGTCAAGCTGAACCTTTATGACTCATGAGTAAATGCTTAGGTCTTGGCTTTTTCTTACTTACAATAGTTATATTGATAGTGGCATAGTTAGTAAATTAGTAAAGTTTGCTGATGACATTAAACTCTTGAACATTTCTAGCTGTATTAAGGTATGACACAATAACTTGGAGGAATTAGTAAGTTGGAAAAACTATCTGGCAAATAATGATTAAGTGTAAGGCATCATGTAATTTGGAATACACATTTAATATTGATGGGAAGCCACTCAAAAGTGTAATTGAAGAAGAGGATCTTTGCATAATGGTGGATAAGTCACTCAAACCATCACAGCAGTGCTCTGTTGGTTGCAGTAAAGGTACTAGAATTTTAGGGTATATTTATAAATATGCTGATTATGAGTCAAAAAAGTTAATTATATTTCTATACAACTCATTAGTTAGACCTCACTTGGAATACTAAGTAAAATTTTAGTCTCCTTATCAAAGAAATGATACTGTCTTACTGGAAAAGGTTCAGAAGAGTGCTACTACAATGATCCTTGTGATGGAAGGGTTATTTTCTATGAAGAAGAGAGGGTAAGAGGTGATCTTATTGAAATTTACAAGATTATCTTGGGGATCAACAGGGCAGATTATTCTGATTTATTTGTGCTATTTTCTGAAAATAATAAGTTAAAAAAACAAAAGTATAAGAAAGTCTAGGTTCCAGTGAAGAATTTTATTTTTCTGACAGTGTGACTGACTTATGGAATGAGTTGCCATCAGCAGTGTGGTATACAAATGCATCCCTAGTATTTATTACCTTCTTCAGTTAGTAAGGTGAATGTTTCAAATTCACTACAAATTTTCAAACATTTTCATAGATACGTGGTTGTTACAGTTTCAACACAATAAAACATTGGTCAGAGAATGTTGCTAAGTTTCTATCATTCCAGTACCCATTGAGCTTTCTTGTGGGAAAGACTGCTTTGAACTAGAAAGCTCTATGTAAAGACAGACAGTGATCTTTTCCAGTGGTGGGTCAGGTGATACCTTAAGAATATAAGCTCCCTTATGTTTCTAATGACCATAAGTGACAAGGGTAGCACTCTGTTTATTGGTTTTTTCTCCTATTGTATTTATGGTCAGTCAGATGAGTAATGGCAAGACCAATGACAGGTTAGTCAGAACTGTGAACAGGACACCCAAATTGAAGTGAGTTTTTATCATCTCATCTATCACCACTAATTGGAAGGCACATGTATAGCATTTCTAATTACCTATGCATTGATGGTAAACATTTTTAAGGTCTTCACACAACTTCTGACATTACAGTCTTGTCATCTATGTTGTCTTAAGTCTTGAATAACTCATCTTATTCACATCCTCTTCTCAACAAGTTAGGCAGAAACTTTGCAAGTTTTTTTCTACCTCCAGTATAAACACCATTATGTCCAGTGACTATTTCTGTGAATAAAAATTTATTTTTGCTATGTTCACATTGTGTCCAGTCTCTTCTATTCTCCAAATTCAGTCAGTCAGAATTCGGACTGAATTCTTAATACGTTTCTTGATCAAATCTCTAGTTATCTACAGATACTAACTGAAATGTAGATCAATGTACTGCGAATACCACATCAATAATAGAGGATTGCATTTAACAAGAGGATAAGTTGAGAATCCATGATTTCTTGAAAAATAAAAGGTGGGTTTAAATTTTTACTTTTCTTAATGGTGGGTGTGCAAGGAAAGTTTTGAAGGACCAAATATTTCCTTGTTGTTTGTATGTCATGTTATACTAGATACAAATATGAGCCTGAGTCACTTTGAACAATTGCATCATGGGGCAAAAGACAAAGTTTTGGGGTTTCTAGGTTCTCTGTAGTGCAATTTAAGCATATTTTTGGTATCTAATGCGAATTTCATTAAGTAGTGTTTAGTGTTTATGAGAAAGAACTTCCAAGTATGTGTATATTCCTTCACTTTATTGATGCTGCCTTCAAACATGAGTGAGACCATTCTCCATGTACACTATTATCTTGCACATATGGCCTTTTACTCTCTCTTCTTACACTACACTGACCTCAATGTTATACATTTTTCACATTAACATTGAGTTCCCTAGACAAATTTGCATCTTTTATTTCTATTATATAAAATAGAAATTGGTACATAATAAGAATTACAAATGTTAGTGAGAACTGTGAACAGGACACCCAAATTGAAGTGAGTTTTTATCATCTCATCTATCACCACTAATTGGTGATGCCAACAAAATTCAATGAACATTAATTATGCATGCTAATAAAAGGTATAAGTAGATGTGGTGTTACACAACAGAAGATTTAAACATGTAACTTCGTCATAAAAAATTTAAATATAGGCTTTCCTTTGCAAAATTTTTTTTATAAAAATCATTTTGTGCATAATGTTTTCAGCATAAAACTTTTTTTGAGGATAATATCAATTATATAAAAAATAAGAATTATGCAGTATTGCTATGAAACAAAATATATTTGACATAATTTATACTAGAATATTTAAACTGTTGAACAGATTAGGTTCATGTATCAAAATGTTTTTAAAATAAATATTTTGTAAATTTTTTTTTTCAGTATCTAAACATGTTAAAAGAGTTTAATTCTTTATTATTAGTTGAATATTTTTCATAAGTAGTTATCAGTTTTTCTTTTGAAAGGGAGTTAAAGCTCACACTATATCCTATATAAATTATATAATACTACCCATGATCTGCAAGACACTTATGGGAGTTTTCATGCTCTTTGCTTGAATTTATTTTATTCCATCATTTTCATGCATGTCATCTAAGCTATGCTTTCTTTCAGGCATTATATGTTAGCTCAATAAATCCTGATCTATTTGAAAAAATATTATACAGTCAATCAAACAAACTCACATAGATGTAACTTTATTTAATAAATCTGCAAGTAAAGTAAACAATAAAATACTGATATTCATAATAGTATATAGAGTATGAAATAGTTATGAGCATTCAGTATATGACACAGTTTAACAAGTTGAAAGAAAGACTCTTACAAAAACAAAGAATAAAACCCCTAGTAAAGAAAAAAATAACTAAAAGTTGATTACAGCTGTCTATGAAATGAATCGAAGCTAAATTATTGCAAAGTAAATGTAAAGTTTTAATGAAGGTAAACTTAGCTGAATACACTGAAACATCTGAATGCATGTTCACAAAGTGATAAGCATATGGTTTTGAATGAGCTGCACATGCGTATTTCAGACCTAAATAAGTCAAGGAAGTCCATAAAAATTGTATTTAGTGTAGTGGACATTCTTTTTAGGAAATTACGCTTGGGTTAAGTGTTATTTGTGTGAAATACTATGCAAATAAAAAAACTAAAGTTGAAATCGAAACCAGTCATCACATGATGACAAAAACACTGTGCTATAATGTACCATACTTGTTGCATTGAAAACTTTTGATTAAGCAAAAAACAAGTAAGGTGATTCTGAATGTAAAGCTAATTTGCAATCCAGACTCCTCTGACAAAGGTCTTTCTAATGATATGAGATTTGTAACGTTTAAGTGAGAAACTTGCGAGAAAAGATCTGGACAGACAAATGCAAGTGTATTATTTACATAGATACACCATAGTGGATGAATTACACTACTATAGCACAATTCAATTACATAATGATACAGACTTACACTTTCAGATATTTTTAAGATATTTACTTAAAATCTCTTACCTTACTCTTATCTTGTGCTGTCAAGTGACAAAGTGAAAAACATAACTGCACTCCTGGGAAAAGCTGTGAACAGAACAATAAAATTAATTATCCATTGTGAGCAACATGTTTTGATATTTATAAAACGTAGAAAGACAAATTATTGCAAATAAAAATGTTTGTTATTCAGAATGTCCATAGTAAGATCTTACACAGAAACAAAGAAATTTATGGAATACAATGTTTTTACACTTGCCTATTTCACCAAAGAGACTTAACAATTTTGGTCTGCTCTTAACCCCACGACAATTATGTGCTGCAAATTGAAGTACATTATGCAACTCATTAAATTTCATTACATTAATAAAACAAGTAGACAAAATTGTTTAAAACTTGAGAAGAACCTTTCTGAAAAGTGTTTAGTTTAAGAAAATTTCTAATTTTGTTTTCTTAATAAAAATCGTTATTTTATTTAGTTATTTGCGCTCACATTATGAATAGTTCACCTGCAAGGTAATTTTCAGTTTGAGTATAAAAATACCATTTATTACATTACAGTTTTCACATTTCACTCACAATCTCTAGAACTCTAGAAATGCTTAAAATTAAGAAACAGAAATATGCATGTACCTATTAACTCTTCAATGAATAATCTTACCTTGTTTGGGTCATATGCATAATTTCGTGTCTCTACCTTTTCACTTATAGTTTATTTTTAATGTTTCATTTTCCTTTCCTATTCTCTACTGTTGACTATTTAAGTCAACCCACATCAATGGGTACCTGCGAGCAATAGAATGGTATGAATGGCGGAGATACTTTAGTCTCTAGCAAAATCTTTTTACACACACTTGGTAATATAAGCCTTGCAGAACATGGGAAGCTTTGGTTATTTCATGAAAATTATTAGACCTTTCAAATGAAGTTTAAAACTCAAATAATGCACAATTAACTAAAATATAAAAGTAAAACCTAATACAATTTAACCGTTTCTCTAACTGTAACGTATTTAGGTAAGAAACAACTGAGTGTGCTATCGTGCACAAAGCACAAGCAATTACATCTACCTGAGGATGACAACTTGGTGTCAATTTCAAATATGCCCTTTCAACAACTATAAACATGTACATGTTGAAAGTACACGTAGCTTCTAAAACTCAATGTTAACTATACAAGATGGGCATGGCACCTGTCAGGAGTTGACAAAATTAAATTCTTCTTTAATTCAGTGCATTCAGTGAAAGTATTTTGAAACATAGGTGTCAAAAGTGCAATTAAACTACATTCTCATCTAGACTTAAACGTTCATGACTACCCCCTTATGCTTCATAAGACACAGAACTAACAAACTTCCTCATTACTTTCAATGTTTCTTTTGAAATAAAGGAATAAATACAAAGGCAATATAATACTTTCAACTATTACAGACTTGATAATAATAATTTCATTAAAATACATTGGTAGTAAAGTGGTTTAATTAAATTTTGAATGTAACTCAGTGAAATGTGCAGAAAGGAGTTTAAAAAGCTCGTTGTTATTAAAGGGTTAAGCTACATCTTACCTTTAGATGAAATGAGATGAAAACTAGAAACCACAAACTTTTCCAGTATCTCAATGATTTATGACTAAGATTAACAACTTTCTTCCAGATCATGTACTTACTGATGCTGTGATCTGATTTCCTACTACAAGATTAGGTATTGAGGGTTGAAGCTGCACTGCCTCTCTGGCTAGCTAAAAAGAGAAGAAAAATGGACAATTAAAATACTGCTAAATAAACCATTTCTTTTAAAGGAAAAGCAAAATGTTCATGCACATACATTAAGCAAATCTAAAATACACCAAAGGATGCACATTATTACATCATGTATTATCCATTATTCGTATTTCTGAACATAAGCTAAAGTTCTACCAAAGTCTAAAAAAATTAATAAAATATATATTAATCAGAACAATTCAGTAATGCTACTTGCCCAAGTACAGTTAAGTGAAAATTACTTAAAGTTGGAAAGATGAAACCCTATAGAAATAAAAAAAAGACAATTATAATAAATAATAATTATGTTAATATTATACAAATTAGTTATAGCACTTAAAACTTATAAAGAAGAGTTTGCATTAAATCATCCTTCAAATACTTTTAATGACATTTTCAACTATAATCCAATCAATAATTCATAAGGTAAAAAATTTATTGATGTTTTTAAATTAAGTCAAAATTATGAAAAAGAAAAATCTTTTTTTTTCATATATCACATAAATCTAAAGAGTAGTTTTTTTAAATAAGAAATTCAATCTCTTCAGCCACACCCAAACTCTTGTAACCATATCATAAAATTCACCACAAAAATGGCAGTGAACTCATTCAAATAAAATGTTTCAGTGACAAAGGCTAAAATTAAAATTATTAAATCTCTATTGTTTACTATGTGACAAAAATATCAAATGGCAATTTTGATAAACTTGTTTCAAATTGATAGTAGTGACAAATAATATATTAAAAACAACTGTACAAAAACATATTGAATCTGGGTGAAGACAACTGCTATCAGTATCCATATTTCCCATCCAGTAGGTAAAAATGTGTGTACTGTATATGCTAACAAATATTTGCATGTGTTCAATAGGACAGCTGGCACCATACAGTTACACTATTTCAACAGGGTTTTAGAGCCATTATTTTCACACTCCTTTAACTGAAACACAGAGAAAAGACAGAGAGAAAGAATAACCCTCATGGAAATTTGATTTGTGTTGAACTTTTGTTGTAAATTAGTGTATACCAATATAGCTCAAAATTGAGACCTAAGATTATATTATTTCTTAAGCAAAATATATCAATAATTATTTATTTATTTATTAAACCTCCTGTCTTCCTGCATTATAGATGAACAGTTTCCTTAAATGAAAGACCTGGCATGGCCAGGTGGTTAGGCCGCTCGACTTGTGGGTCGAATCCCCATCCCAAACATGCCCACCCTTTCAGCCATGGGGGTGATCTAATGTGATGGTCAATCCCACTATTTGTTGGTAAAAGAGTAGCCCAAGAGTTGGTGGCGAGTGGTGATGACTAGCTGCTTTCCCTCTGGTCTTCCACAGCAAAATTAGGGAAGGTTAGTGTAGCATTGCAAAATTAAAAAAAAAAACCCAAACAAATAAAACCCTGAAATGAACCTACAAAATTCTGTTATAAAAGTCAGTTCATGCACAGTTTTTTACATTAACAGTTACAGATATTCATCAACAAAGTTGATCAGTGATCATAGCATACTTTATTTTGCCACAAAGGAACTTTCCCCTGCAATATCTGAAATCAATAACCACATGCAATATAAACAAAACCTCTTTCTGCAATGGTCTTTACCCATCAGTAAGGTTGTTTAAGCCCACTAGTGTTCTGAGTGATATTTCTTGAATGTATTGGAAGTAAGAACATTTACATACAATGCTTCAAACCTTAAAAACCATTACATATTGAAGCCTTTTGTTGAAAATACATATGCTTAAAAATTTAACAGGCCCCTCACGAGCCAGTGGGGAACATTTTTGTTGAAAAACAAACTACCCAATCCAGTTTTTCTTAATTTGAACTGACATTTTTTGGACATCTTTATTGGATAAAAAAGAAGGCATTTCCCACACTCTTTTAGCATGGAGGTTGCAAAACTGACCAATTACAAGTGTACACTATGAGTGAAATGCCTTGAATAATATGCAAATATGAAAGGTGTTCAGAATGCTTCAATTGCAGTCATTGTAGATGTTCTTGTGATGGCTTATCTCCTGAAACAAAACTTAGCCGAAAACGTGGTGGAAAACAGCCCAAACCACCTGGCTTTGAAAAGGAAACAAGAAAAAAAAGCCACATTGAATTTCAATGAAAACCCAATGAATTGCCAAGATGTTTTTGATGAAAGCACTCTAGAAGATAATTATAGATGAATGAGGAGGAAAAGATGACTAGAAAAGGCAGCCTGTGTGATGTGAAGGCAGTTGTTGATGTTTTTGGATTACCGTCAGTAACAAGTGCAAATTTTCCATCAAGGAAGAAACTTGATGATATAAAATTATTCTCAAATGTGGAGTCCACTGTTGTAAGATTGGTTCTTTTTTTGGATCGAGGTGCTTCACTGTGTGGGGGCACATATCAATCACAGTGCGGTGATGAAGGATAAATTATTCTAGCTTTAATATCAGGATGTCTCACACTCAAAAATGTGTGTGAGAAGATTTCTAATTTTGGTAAGAACACATTTGAAACAGCTCGTCAGAATTATCACTTGCTGTGTTCAGCTATGGAACTACAAAATCCTGTTTGGACTGTCCAAAAAAGCTTTTTAAATTAATTTTATCTGCATGAAATATCAAGACACTATCATGGTAAAGAAATACCTTTGTGTTGGATGGAAAGGAAATAGTTTTACCTTGGTTTACTCGTACGAAATTGAAAGAGTACATTTAGCATGACTATATCGAGGGATATCCATGTAGATTAGATCTAGTATCGTACAGATCACTTACGAAATTGCTCCCAAAAATGACAACATATGACCTGAAAGTTTGAAAAGCATCTGGAATTCTTTTATATAATAGCATGGAAATGCTTCAGAGGATCATTGCTACTATCAAAGATGAAACAGATCGTGACATGTGTCGGAAAGCCATTGAAGTTATTGAGCACTACATGAAGTACAAGTATGACAAGCATGTTGATATGGATAATCTTCCAGTCATGAGTTCGAATATGCATTGCAAGGTGATTGTGATAGCATCAACCATCTGAACTGTAAGCATTGTCAATTTCCATTTCAGGTTTCATCAGGCAAAAAGTGAAACCAGATCATCATCCTTTATTGAAGGATTGTCTTGAGAAATTCAAGCTTTATCATGGTCACAGAATTTGCATTCTCAATCAAAGAAAGCACACTGCTAACATTCACGCCAACCTAAGATAGAATGAAGCTCTAATTGAGGTCTATTACAAATTGAAATTCAAGCCCATGTATTTGAGAGAAAAACAATTAAACACTATGCAAAGAAAGGAATGTCATGGCATGGGATGCATGATATACACAAAAAAAAAAAAATGAATCGAATATCAACATTTTGTATAACGACCACATCTTTGGGTGATACTAAACAAGATTGGGTGGCAATTGTTATCAACATACCAAGGTGTCGTGAAGCAGCTTAAGGAAGGTTTTCTGCATGTTCGAAGCATTTATGTTCA